GAACTCCTGAGCTCAAACAATCCGCCCGCCTCAGCCTCCCAGAGAGCTAGGATTACAGGCGTGAGCCACCGCGCCCGGCCCTTATATATTTTTTATTTCTTCCTTTATTGTAAGGCTGTCAGTGTCTTGCTCGCGTCAGTCTCAGTAAAGTGCCCTTCTGATGGCTTCTAATTTATTGAATCTTGTAGGGCTTTAGAATCCACTTAACCTACCACAGGCCTGCAGACATTTATTTCTCCATCTGTAAAAAACTGATATTTATTAATATAATGCTAGGCTGTAGGTAGACATTGGTGAGTGAGACTTGCATTATCCCTGCCTTCATGGAGCTTAGAGTCTAGTAGATTTCTTTTATTTTTCTACTCTAAAGAGTAAAAATGCATAATATGTGCTTTATTTAAAAGTCTTAAATTTACCTGGATTAAACTTTTTCATCAATAATATGAATTCAAGTTAAGTAAGATTTGCTATCTGAATCATTTTCATGAGACTTTTCTAAAATGTCTCGTTACATAAAACTTAGGAAGGTAAGCAGAAGTGAAGAAACTTCACTGATGTTAATTATGTTAGCATTCACATTAACATTCACATTGAATTTATGCCAGAACTGGGACTTGAATTTGTGTTTACTGATTTCTCCCAGTCCGGTGCTGTTTGCACTATATTGTGTGACTTTTTAGGACAATGTTGTTGTGTAAAACTAAAGAAGGCTCTGAGGCAAAGTACTGTAACTGCAAAGAGGACTGTCGTAGGTGCCGTGAGTCTCCGTGTTCAGAACGTTTCTGTTTTCCTCCTTACGCTAATATTCCCCTTTCAGAACAGCAGCTGGGTACGGCTGGGAGGCCTAACTCTTTTGCATATTTTGTTTTCTAGTTTGTACCTGTTCAAACTAGGCCTAGCTCCTCAGATTCAAGACCTGTATGGAAAGGTTGACTTCACAGGTAAGGACTTACAAACTTGGCAAGAAATGCTTAATTTATGTGGAAATAGCCTAGAGAGTCAACAGTACCGATTTTAAAGATCTAGGGCTTTAAAAATACTCTAACAACAGAGATGAAAGAAATATGAAGAACCTGCTTCTGCTAGTGTGGTGGAAAGAACACTGCACTGGGGCTTTTGGGCTCTGTTGTCTCACTTATAATGTGGGCGTGATTAGTGAATCTCAGTTTTGTTATATGTAAATTGGGAGTAACATTAACATACAATAATGTTAACATCTAACATTAAATGTTCAGGTACGTTGAAAAAAGCTTTATAACAGTGTTTGTTTCCTTTTCCCTTCCAGCAAGCACCTGTTGTGGGCAAAGTAAGGAGGAGAGTGGGGAATGAGATGATACAAAGATGACAGTTTAGTAAATTTAAAATTTAACCTTATTTGGGTGGGTGTTTCTATTTGCTATAGTCAGGTGCTTGAAGAGTTGGGAGCTTGGGGAGAAAAAGGCAGTGCTAATATTGGTTAGGGGTAAGATAGATTCAAATCTTTCAAACTGTTGATTATTTTCTAGGCCTGGGAGTTTAAAATTGTGGTAGTAAAGCTTTTATCTATGATATTTTCCTTCCAGGGAAGTTGTTGACCAGACCTGGGGCAAGGGCCAAACCTTATGTGTTGTTTATCATTTGACTTTCTGCCTTAGAAATGAAACTATTGAATAGCAGCTAGTGATACGGATTGTAAAGACCAGGATAACTGACTAGTTTGGTATTCATTTGTTGTTGAGCTCCTGTTAAAGCTGTTCCATTTTTAAGTTCATTGTCGGAAATGCCACACGTAGCAGTGTTGAAAAACTATTTCCTGTAGGGCTGTAGTCCCCAAGCCCTGGGCCTGTGGCCCGTTAGGAACCAGGCCATAGAGCTCTGCCTCCTCCCATGCCCCCCTCCCCTGTGGAAAAATTGTCTTCCATAAAACCAGTCCCTGGTGCCAAAATGGTTGGGGACCACTGCTATAGGGTCTTCTCACTTTACAGTTGTTGTTTATGTCCTTGATGATAATAATAATAATAATGGTTAATGTTTATTGAGTGCATTATATGACCAGGTACTGTATTAAGTGCTTTCCGTGTATTATCTCATTAAATCCTTATAACAACCCTAAAAGGTAGGTGCCATTTTATCCCATTTATAGCTGAAGGATCTGTTTCCTTCTCTGAGTTGTGGAAAAGTGCTTAACTTGTTTGACTGGGTCTTAATTCTCTTCTGTAGAAGAAGAAATCAACAACATGAAGATTGAGCTGGAGAAGTACGGGATCCAGATGCCTGCCTTCAGCAAGATTGGGGGCATCCTGGCTAATGAACTCTCGGTGGATGAAGCTGCATGTAAGAAGAGAAATATTTTGTGGGTTCAGATGGGATTGTTGCCACCATTTCCAATAATTGATGCTAGAGTGATGATTATGAATTTTGCTAGCAAGTTTAAGTCCATAGATGTAGTTGTAAACACTGCTATAATCTTCTATGCTATTGTTATTTGGGAATAAGTGGTTAATTTGATTAAAGTAAAAACATTTAGAAAGTAAGTCTTACATTTCAGCACCCTAGTGAGTTTCTTATTTTCCTACGATATTTACTTGGTAATTAAGGGTAGACATCTCCACAGTAAATGTTCCTTGAAAGACTCTCTTATGAATATTTCCCTGTGAGATTCCAAATTCAGCATCCCAAACACGGATCACAGGTGGAGCTGTGGCTGGCTTTGTGCATCGTAAGGAAGAGACTAGGCGCATAGGATCCGGGAAGCCATTCCTCCAATCCCAGTTATTCCTCTGTCTATGAAAAGGAGCCTCTCTCTGTAATAGGGAGTTGCAGTGTTGTTTTGTATGTGTAATGAAAATCCTTTATATAATTTCAGTGTTCTGTGCTTTGAATTTTTTTTTTTTAGTACATGCTGCTGTTATTGCTATCAATGAAGCTATTGACCGTAGAATTCCAGCTGACACGTTTACGGCTCTGAAAAATCCTAACGCCATGCTTGTAAATCTTGATGAGCCCTTGGCATCCACATACCAGGATGTACTTTACCGGGCCAAGCAGGACAAAATGGCAAATGCTAAAAACAGGGTAAAAATGGAATATCTATTCTTTCTAATTTATATTGTTTCATAATTTGACATGGCTCCATTTTAAGGTCAGTTTTATTGAGGTATAATTTACATATAATAAAAGTTACCCATTTTAAGTGTACAGTCTGAGTTTTGATAAATACATATGGTCATTTAACCATCACCCCAGAAAGTTCCCTAGTGCCCTTTTGTAGTCTCCCCTCCAACCCCCCACCTCTGACCCCAGGCAACTACCAATCCATTTTCTATCACTATAGTTTGCCTTTTTTAGAATTTCATATAAATGGAATTACACAGTATCTTTTGACTTTAGACTCAATTTTTTAAAAATTTAAAATTTTTAATTTTAATTTTATTTTTGAGACACGGTCTCTGTCACCCTGGCTAGAGTGCAGGGCGTCAGCCTAGCTCACTGCAACCTCAAACTCCTGGCCCCAGGCAATCCTCCTGCCTCAGCCTCCCAAGTAGCTGGGACTACAGGTGCACACTATTATGCCTGGCGAATTTTTTAATTTTTGTAGAGACAGGGTCTCTCTTGCTCAGGCTGGTCATGAACTCCAGACCTCAAGTGATCCTCCTGCCTTGGCCTCCCAAAGTGCTAGGATTATAGGCATGAGCCACCTCTCCCAGCCTAGACTCCATTTTGACCTCTACTTTCTTCTTGAATTTTATGCAAATAAAATTCTGGAGTGTAGTCATTTAAAATTAATAGTTACCTTTTGAAAGATGATCTCCAAATATTAATATAGCCCTTCTCCTTTTCCAGATTCTCTAGGGTAAAATATTCTGTACTATTATTATGGGTATGTGGAAGTTAGTTGAATGATTCTGACTTCAAAAAACTGAAGATAAGAGTCTCCTTTAAGACCTATATTTGTTGGGGCAAGGTGGCTCACGCCTGGAATCCCAACACTTTGGGAAGCTGAAGTGGGAGATTGCTTGAGGCCAGGAGTTCAAGACCAGCCTGAGCAACATAGTGAGACCCCCATGTCTAACGTAAAAGAAAAAAAAAAAAACAAAAAACTCAGCTGGGTGCAGTGGCACATGCCTGTAGTCCCAGCCATTCAAGAGGCTGAGGTGGAGATTGCTTGAGCCCAAGGAGTTTGAGATTACAGTGAGCTATGATCACACCACTGCACTCCAGCTTGGGTGACAGAGTGAGACCCTGTCTATGAAGAAAAAAGCTTTACACAAATGTATTCATTCTTGTTGAAATTAGTGATTAAAACTTCTCAGTTCTTTGGGCACATATGCAGATGACAAAAATGAAGACAAGGTCACTCTCAGAACATTGTTTGTGTCTCATATCATGGAGCAGGGATTGTAACCCCCAGGATAGGAGCCAAACTGGCCTGCAGAGAGGATGCTACTGCCATGCCTCTGCCTATGTCACCAGTAGAGGCTGCAAGATTTTGGACCTGCATGTTCCCATTTTGCTCAGGTCTGGGACACGGATGTGCTGCTTTGTGAGTGAACAGAGCAGGGTGTACTCGGTGCTCTTGCCCAACTCTGGAAGAACCCCTGTGCTCATCATTAACACATGGATCTGCTTTTTGTGATTTTAGTTATAATCATGTATCATTCTGCTTTGTTCTTTGTAAAGGATTTTGTTTTTGAGATGGGGTCTCACTAAGTTGCCCAGGGTTGGTCTTGAACTGCTGGGCTCAAATAATCCTCCAACCTCAGCCTCCCAAGTAGTTGGGATTATAGGTGTGCACCACTGCGCCCAGCTTATAAAGGATTTTAAGCTACACATACTCCTACTTGGTTCTGTTATGGTAGGGGAGGAACACAAATGTGTTTCTGTGGTCGTCTTAGGCACCTGAGCTAACTTGAGTAACTCTACTTTTTACTCATCTTCAGACAGAAAACGCTGAGAGGGAAAGGGATGTTTATGAGGAGCTGCTCACTCAAGCTGAAATTCAAGGCAATGTAAACAAAGTCAATAGTAAGTATGTTCCTGAGTCAGGCACCTAAGGGGATATTATAGAATAACATGGGTGTTGATCTATTCATAGACTTACAACATGGTTTGACTTATTTTCGATGTTAGTGGATTTGTGTAGTGGATTTCAATGTTAGTGGACTCGTTTCAGTGCGCTGTGCCTCCGTGTGACTTGTCCTCTGTAGTAGCTTCTGGGCTGGTCTTTGGGGTTATAGCTTCACTCTTTCACCCCATGTTACATACTTTTAAAAAAATTATTTGCCTATTTTTAAAGAATCATTATGGTTTTGTTTTTCTTTTAAAGAATAACGTAAGCTATCCAGAAATAAACAATAAATGAAAAATTAGACCCCATCGCTTAGAAATAGCCCCATTGCCATTTTTATGCATGTCTTTCAAAATGTATTTAAACAAAAATGAGATTATACTTTTAATATTTTTGTATACATGTTATACACTTTTGAAAAATTAATTTCTCGAAAGTATCATTTTCATTTTGCCACTTCTCTGTGAAAGAACCTGCACTGGCTCCTTACCACTTGCCAGACAAAATGTGGATCCCTAGCCTAGTGGAGTTCTTTGTGCAATATTTCATGACTGTTACTCTTTATAGAAATCATTTGCTTGTCTCCCACATTCCTTCTGTTCATTTCATGACTGAGAGAGAGTCTGGCTCTCAAGTGGTATAGACCTGGGATTTGATCTCTTGTCCTCTTATTTAACAGCTGTGTGACATTGGACACCTGCACTAGAGGAGGTGTTATGTGGATAATTGAGATAATGTATGTAAATTGCCCGGTATTTAGCAAGTGCTCAGTGAACAGGAGGATTACCGCTTTGTTAATCATGTAATCCCCTCACCGTAATGCCCTCCTGCCTCATCTCTTACCTGATCCAAGTCGGACCCACCGTTCAAGATCCAGTTCGGTTTTCACCTCAGTGCCTATCCCAGTTCATAAATATACTTGTCTTTCAAATCTCCAACAGCATTAATAGGCTAATCACCACAATTTTGTGCTTAGTTATGCGTTGTCTTGTATTGCTTGCTCTTTATTTCTGACATCTTTATAAATTCCTTAAAGTAGAGATTATTTATTCCGCTTCTTTTGAAGTCCTCATAATTCCTAGCGTAGGTTTAGACTCACCAAAAGTACTAATAAGTTTGATTTCAGCCAATTAGGTTTGTCTTGATCTTATTTTGCTCAAGATAATAACAACAACAGTAATAGCAACCAGTGTTCTCATTGATCATTTGAAGCTCCTAATTTCTCATTGAACTAATACTCTGATAACTAGAGAGCATTTCCAAGATTTTACCAACTGTGTATTATATGGAGTTTTAAATCGTGACTGGAAGTCTTTGTATTCTGCTACATTCTGGTTCATTTAGGATAATGACCTTCTGATGCCTTGAATGACCTCCCATTCAGGTAGGGGTGGTGTCTTGTGCTGAATCTGTATGAAGACTTCAGTTAGCAAACATGAACTGGAGTGTCCTTATGCTTTGTTCTCTTCATGAGAACAAAGTCCAGCATGTTTCTTGTTGCATAGACCGCATAAAATCCTTTTTATTTTACTAAAAGATTTTTTTTCTACTATATTGTTAGGGATTTTATAACCTTTATAGCTTTACCTTGATAATTATATGAGAGTCAGTTATAAACATATATGGAAAGAATGATATATATATGTTCTATTGATATTCTTACGTGGTCAGGAGAGCAAAATAATAAAAATTCTCTCAAATAACCTTCAATATAATGGAAGAAGATAGACATTCAGATGAATAATTTTAGGGCAGCTTGATTAGAACAAGGTACGAAAGGTCCATTAGGCGCAGTCATAAAATAAAGGAGGGAATGACGACTTCTGCTTAGATTTTTGAGTAGATTTACAGTGTACATGAACCTTCACTGGGATTTCCAGGATAGATAAAGAGGGTGAGGATAAGACAGAATTCCCTGCAGAGGAACAGTCTTTTCCTAATTGTAGAGAAAGTCTGAGGCAAGGGAAAGTTATATGCCAGGAAAACATGGGGACTTTCAATTCCAGGAATTGTCTTAATGTAATTACAGATGAGATTCTTTGCACAGGGAATGAGAACCAGCAATGAGGCCATTAACACTGCCCCAGAAAAAAAGCAATGGGCCAATAGTTACAAATGAAAAAAAGTTTTTATTTTTTGTTAAATAGAATAAGGAAAGTTAGAGTTAGATAATTAAAGTTCAGTAGGAGGAAATATTTGAATAATCTAAACTTTATCTTTGCAATATGAATGTTAGTAAATATTCATTTACATGTTTAACTAGTAAGTTTATGCTTCTAGAAAAAGCATAATTGACTGGACTTTGTAGATAGATACTGAGATTTTGCGGTACATGCCTAGAGAAAGTACGGCTGCTGCCTGTGTTGATTGTGTGTACTGTCCCCAGCCACTGGGAAAGCTCCATGAGGATGGAGATATTTGTTTTGTTCACTGCCATGTTTCCCGCATACAGCAGATCCTCAGTAAAGACTGTTGAAGGAATGAATGGTTGGTTGGCTAACGACCACATAGACCTGTGGCCATGACTTAAGAAGCCACCACCTTGGTATGGTTATTGGAAAGAAAGAAAGAATCTCTTTAGGAGCCTACAGTAAGACCACAAATCCATAGCAATTTTTTAACCTTTTCTTCCTTTTACCTCTTGGTTTTGTTTTGTTTTGTTTATTTATTACTCTTTCCCAGTGCCCCTACCTCCGTTTTCTAGTGTATTTGAGACTTCATTTTCCCTTGGGCTGTTTTGATTTTCTTTCTAACAGCTTATTTATTTTGTTTTTTACTAATGAAAACATTTAAAATCGAAAAGTACTGCTGTGCCCCAGATATTTTGATTTTTAGTATTTTATTGATTTCTTTTTGCTACTCTGATGATAAAATCAGATGTTTATCCCTGGGCAGTGGTAGAGGGAGGCATTTTCTCTTCTAAAAATCGGGAAACTAAAAGTAATACAGTAATTATGATTCTGATTTAATTTCTAATCAGAAATTATCTGGTTTTGGCCAGGAGCGGTGGCTCACGCCTGTAATCCTAGCTCTCTGGGAGGCTGAGGCAGGCGGATTGTTTGAGCTCAGGAGTTCGAGACCAGCCTGAGCAAGAGCGAGACCCCGTCTCTACTAAAGATAGAAAAAAATTAATCAGACAACTAAAAATACATAGAAAAAAATTAGCTGGGCATGGTGGCGCATGCCTGTAGTCCCAGCTACTCGGGAGGCTGAGGCAGGAGGATCGCTTGAGCCCAGGAGTTTGAGGTTGCTGTGAGCTAGGATGATGCCACGGCACTCTAGCCCGGGCAACACAGTGAGACTGTCTCAAAAAAAAAAAAAAAAAAGAAATTATCTGGTTTTGACTTTTAACCTAATACCTTATTTATTTTACAATATAAAAGTGCTTTTATGTATATGATTTCATTTAATCTTAAAAATAACCCAATGAAGAAGGTTTCCAGATGAAGGAACATCTGTGTTTTCACTGTCAGATACTATATTAAAGAGCTTGTGTGACCTCAGGTTCCATGACTAGGTAGAGAATATTGAGAGGGGTAAGAGCCCCTTCTACTCTTCCCCCATCAGACCACCCTTGACACCTTGAGCACTGGCTTCTGTGAGGGGCGCATGTTCAGGAAATACCAGGATAGTGAATGGATTCAAAATGATGCTATGTAAGAAATGGTTGAAGGAACTAGGGCTGTTAGTGCGGAGTGCACTGTCACAAGGAAGGGAGAGTTGAACGTATTCAGTGCGAACTTCAGGGTAGAAGTTAAAAAAAATTTTTTTGGAAACAGAATTGTCCAAAGATTTAGTAAATTCCCATGACAGATACTCTCTCCTGTTTAGTGGTCTGTAAGCATCATCTGGACAACTCTGTGGCTCTTACATTACTACCCATATTGGTGCCGAGCTGTTAATATTTGCATCTGGGGTTTCAAGTAGGCCCCGGGTGTGGCCTGGGACTCTGCGGAATCTGATGAACAGCTTGTCGGGAACCCCTGCCCTGCATGACTTTAAGGTTCCTTTGCAATCCCAAGATCTTAATGCTTCTCAGATACTACAGAAAAAGAGGCTCTCTGAGTTATATTTCCCTTATTTGGAACTGAGGTTGGTTTTGGGGAAGGAAAAATATTCTAGGCTATTATGTTAACATAGTTTTTTCTTAAGCTTTTGCCTTTTTTCCTCATCAGCAATTTCTGCGTTAGCCAATATCGACCTGGCTTTGGAGCAGGGAGCTGCACCGGCCTTGTTCAAGGCTCTGCAGTCACCAGCTCTGGGTCTTCGAGGACTGCAGCAACCGAACAGTGATTGGTACTTGAAGCAGCTCCTGAGTGACAAACAGCAGAAGAGACAGGTAAAAGTACTACGGGTTGGAGCTGCAACGGTTTGTATTTGTCCATTGGAGTCCTGTGCTGTCATTTAAAAATATTTATGCAGCTTTTTCTTCTAGTACAACTTTTTCTCCTGCATATAAATTAGGTTTTTTTTAAAATCCTCAGGTAAAATACATATTGTTTTCAGCTCTTTTTTGTTTTTAGAGCAGCGAATCCTTTTTTAAAATAAACAATATCCCCACAGCCCCAGTCTAACCACCCCTTCCTTTCAGCCATCTCCCTCTCTCCCCGCCTAAAAGCTACTGGGGAAAACCTGAATTTTTTTACATTCTTACATCACAAATTTCCACTTTAAAAAGCCACACCTCATTAGTTTCTTGTGGCCAACACTGGGAAAGTACTTAATGTGCAGTGAGGGTAGATTATATGGGACTGTACTTTGTGGGGTTTTTTTAGAACAAACATGGGGGGGCTCTCTTTTTTGTCTAAATAAGGGCCAGTATAGATTTTACAAACTCCTGGCATCTGTTGGTCAGAGTAAAGCAGCATTAATGTGCTGAAGATCCTACAAACGTTTTCTCTCAGAATGTTTTGATGCTTTTTACAGAATATTTTTAAAAATGTACCAGTATCTGGAAAGTCACTCTACCCAGATTTGGCAAGGGCTTTTGGCTCTATCTAGGGCTGCCACTTTGGCTGCACGCGGCCTGGAGCTGTCACTTACGTTGGTGGTTCTCTGTCCCTAGTGACTGCTGCAGAGCTCTGAGAACCGTGAGGTCTGGGGGCATAGGCACAAGTGATCTTTACATAAGTGTTCGTTGCTTTCCTCAGAGTGGCCAGGCTGACCCCCTGCAGAAGGAGGAGCTGCAGTCTGGAGTGGACGCTGCAAACAGTGCTGCCCAGCAGTACCAGCGAAGTAAGAGTGCCCTCAGCTCGGTGTCCGTGGAAACATTCAGTAGGGCTGGAAAGTTGTGGCTTTATGTCACTGAAGGGTCCGAGATTAGCTTCTGTCACCCCTTAGTCCCCACCTTGAGCCTGCTAACCATAATCAACTACCAGTTACTGTTGGTGGCAGTATGAGTCTGCCAGTTTTGTTTTTTAATTGGTATGTAATAGTTGTACATATTTTGGAGGTACACGTGATATTTTGATACATGCATGCAATATGTAATGATGAAATCAGGGTAATTGGGATAATCTGTCACCTCAAACGTGTATCTTTCTTTATGTTGAATATTCCAATTCTTCTCTTCTAGCTATTTTGAATTAATCATAATGCCTTATTGTTTACCTTACTGTACTATCAAATATTAGATGTTATTCCTTCTATCTAACTATATTTTTGTACTCATTAACCAACCTCTCTTCATTCCTTCTGCCCCACTGCTCTTCCCAGCCTCTGGTAACCAGCAATCAATGCTGTACCCCCATGAGACCCACTTTTTTAGCTCCCACATGAGTGAGAACATATTTGTCTTTCTATGCCTGGCTTATTTCACTTGACAGAATGACCTCTAGTTCCATCCCTGTTGCTGCAAATGATAGGATTTCATTCGGTTTAATGTCTGAGTAATATTCCCTTGTGTATTTATACTACATTTTCTTTATCCATTCATCCATTGATGGACACTTAGATTGATTCCAAATCTTGGCTGTTGTGAATAGTGCTGCAGTAAACATGGGAGTGCAGATATCTCTTTCAAATGCTGATACCCTTTCTTCTGGATACATACCCACCAGGATTGCTGGGTCATATGGTAGTTCTATTTGTAGTTTTTTGAGGAACCTGCACACTGTTTTCCATAGTGGCTACCCTCATTTTCATTTCTACCAGCAGTGGCAACCTCTAACTCCTGAGCTCAAGCAATCCTCCTGCCTCAGCCTCCCGAGTAGCTGGGACTACAGGTGTGCACCACCACACCCAGCTAATTTTTTCTGTTTTTAGTAGAGATGGGGTCTCACTCTTGCTCAGGCTGGTCTTGAACTTTCTTGAACTCCTGAGCTCAAGCAATCTTCTCTCCTCAGCCTCCCAGAGTGCTAGGATTACAGGCATGAGCCACCATGCCCGGCCTGTGTGTTTTCTTTTGATACATGTCTGTTCAGTTCATTTGTCCAATTTTTAATCAGATTGTTTGGTTTTTGTGCTATTGAGTTGTTTGAGCTCCTTACGTATTCTGGTTATTAATCCTTTGTCAGATGGGTAGTTCGCAGATATTTTCTCCCATTCTGTAGGTTGTCTCTTCACTTTATTGATTCCTTTGTGGTGTAGAAGCCTTTTAGCTTGATATTGTTTCATTTGTCTATTTTTGCTTTCATTGCCTGTGCTTTTGAGGTCTTACCCAAAAAGCCTTTGCACAGACCAGTGTCCTGAAACATTTTCCCGATATCTTTTTTTTTTTTTTTTTTTGAGACAAAGTCTCACTCTGTTGCCCGGGCTAGAGTGAGTGCCGTGGCGTTAGCCTAGCTCACAGCAACCTCAAACTCCTGGGCTCAAGCGATCCTCCTGCCTCAGCCTCCCGAGTAGCTGGGACTACAGGCATGCGCCACGCCACCATGCCCGGCTAGTTTTTTCTATATATATATATTTTTAGTTGTCCAGATCATTTGTTTCTATATTTTAGTAGAGACGGGGTCTCGCTCTTGCTCAGGCTGGTCTTGAACTCCTGACCTTGAGCGATCCACCCGCCTCGGCCTCGCAGAGTGCTAGGATTACAGGCGTGAGCCACTGCGCCCGGCCTCATTTTCCCAGTATTTTTGACTAGTAATTTCATGGTTTCAGGTCATAGATTTAAGTCTTTAATCCATTTTGATTTGATTTTTGTATACAGTGAAGAGATAGGGGTCTAGTTTATTCTTCTGCATATGATTATCCAGTTTTCCCAGTGCCATTTATTGAAGAGACTGTATTAGTCCATTTTGTGTTGCTATGAAGGAGTACCTGTGGCAGGGTAATTTGTAAAGAAAGAGGTTTATTTAGGTCCCAGTTCTGCAGGCTATGCAAAAGCATGAGGCCAGCATCTGCTTGGCTTCTGGTGAGGGCTGTTGTGCTACATCAAAACATGGTGTAGAAGGTCAAAGTGGCAGTGGGCACATGCAAAGAGGGACCAAACCCAAAGGGCATTCTGGCTCTGTAACAACCTACTCTCAGGGAGTTAATCCAGTCCCCTGAGAACCAATCCAGTCTTGAGTGAAAACTCACTCACCACCTCAGGAATGGCACCACGCTATTTGTGAGGGATTTCCCCTCATGACCCAAACACCCCTCTCTCTAGGCCCTGCCTCCCAGCACTACCACACTAGGGATCACATTTCCACATGAGGTTTGGTGGGCACAAACCAACCACAGACCACAGCAGTTTGCTTTCCCCAGTGTATGTTCTTGGTGCCTTTGCCAAAAATGACTTGGGTGTAAATGCGTGGGTTTATTTCTGGGTTCTCTACTCTGTTCTGCTGGTCTATGTGTCGGTGTATTTCCTCCAGTTTTACAAGTAGAACTGGAGTCAGTATAGGCTCGCCTTGGCTAGTAAGCACTTCATGATTGGCTAGAGAGATCTCTGGAGGTGGCCAATTAAGGGATTGGTGAGATTTGGATGGTGGAAAAGGAGAGAAAAGAATGTTCCTAATGCAGGACAATAAGGGGGAAAGGAAGTGGGAGCAGAGGTACAGATGGTAAAAGACGTATTTAAGGAACAGTGGTTAGAGTGAAATTTTTGTGGATGGGCAGAGCTACGTAAGATAAAGGGTTGGATAGATTGTGGAAAGCTTTGAGTGGCACCTTAAGAAGCTGGCATGTTATTTGCGAGGCTACAGGGGAAGGAGGCGATGGTTTGGGTGGAGAGTACTGGTGGCAGACGGGCTGAATTGAGTGGAAAGAAGAGACGGGTGGGGAGAATAGTTAGGAGACTGCCCCTTTTTTAACCCCTTTATTGAGATGTGGTTCACATGCCATACAGTTCACCCTTCATACAAAGGAAGCTGCTTTTTAAAGGTGAACGTTCCACTTCAGACTTTGTGGCTGATAGTTCCTCCACAGACTGTAACTTCCTTTCATGAAAACTGGCACCCCCTTCCCCTCGGGCTCTCAGCGTACTGCGTTTCTGATCTGCCTTCCACACAGGATTGGCAGCAGTGGCAGCGATCAATGCCGCGATCCAGAAGGGTGTTGCCGAGAAGACTGTTCTGGAGCTGATGAACCCCGAAGCTCAGCTGCCCCAGGTGTACCCGTTTGCCGCCGATCTCTACCAGAAGGAGCTGGCGACTCTGCAGCAGCAGAGTCCCCAGGTGAGTTCACTGAGCCTGTCCCTTTTGTGAGCAAGCGGGGGTGGAGGTGAATTTAATACCCACTTCTTCGTGTGGTTAGGGAGACCTTTCTTCCAGAAACTGAGTCTTGTTGTGGTTTTATTAAACTTCTGACTCCCTTGGTATTCAAGAATGTCTTTCCTCACTGTTCTCCCCCATCCCTTTCTGTACAGCATAACCTCACCCATCCGGAGCTCTCTGTCGCAGTGGAGATGCTGTCGTCGGTGGCCCTAATCAACAGGGCGTTGGAATCGGGAGACGTGAATACAGTGTGGAAGCAGCTGAGCAGTTCGGTTACGGGCCTTACCAATATCGAGGAAGAAAACTGTCAGAGGTAGGCGCCCAGAGTCAGTGGATTGAATCCATTATCTAGCTGTTACCTCTGTCTTTTGTGTAGCAACACTCCTGTTCTCTTCGCAGGCATTAGGACTTTAGTGTGGTCGTATGTTTCTTTTGTTCTACTTTGATTCATTTTATTCTTTATTATGCTGAAGGATTTACAGTATATTACAGATGTGACGTTATGCTCCCATGTATGTATGCATGCTTACCTCACTTTGTTACACAGCCAAGATAACTCTATCTCGTGCCCTGACAAAATTAGTAATACTTATTTAATATTACTTAAACCTAGTCCATTTTCATTCTTCTTCAGTTGTTTCAAAACTTTCCTTTCTAGCTGGTTTGTTCAAACCAGGATTCAGTCCAGGGTCATGTGTTATATCTGGCTGTTGTGTCCCTTAAGTATCTGTTTTCTTTTCTTTTTTTTTTTTTTTTTTTTGAGAGAGTCTCTGTCTCCCTGGGTAGAGTGCAGTAGTGTCATTGTACATCGTAGCTCACTGCAACCTCAAACTCGTAGACTCAAGTGATCTTCCTGCCTAAGCCTCCTGAGTAGCTGGAATACACGGGCGTGCTACCACATCCAGCTAATTTTTTCTATTTTTGGTAGAGATGGGGTCTTGCTCTTGCTCAGGCTGGTGTCAGACTCCTGGCCTCAAGTAATCCTCCTGCCTGGGCTTCCCAAAGTGCTAGGACTAGAGGCGTGAGCCACTGTGCCTGGCCCCTTAGGTATCTTTTAATCTAAAATTGTCCCTTTCTTCATGACACTGACTTGTTAAAGAGATGGGACCAATTATCCTATAAAATGTCCCATCTTGTAGATCTGGTTGCTTTCTCATATTCGACTTATTCCTGTAAATTGGAAATTAGATCTAAAGTCTTGCCCCAATTCACTTTAACACTTTTGGTGATGTGTATTTCATACTGCCTCATATCAAAAGGCATATGAAATCTACTTTTCCCACCGTTAGAGATACTAAGATTGATCCTTGGATTAGGGAGACAGTTTATACCTCCATTGTGTATTTATATTTTTCCCTTGTCAGCAGAACATCGTCTCTTTTTGTATGTTTTGTACCATCAAAATGTCCGGTTCCCCATCAGTCATTCACATATTTTAAACTCTAATTGATAATCTTTGCCTAAATCAATAATAAGAAAGTATTGAATGATGATTTATTGATCTATCATTCCTTCTACCTTTATTAGCTTGTGTGTGGCTGTTTTTCTTGTCTTCAGAGGAATTACTTGAGCTGCTTCCTCTGATTCTAAAGTCTGTCCTATCTGGAATTTAGAATATGTAACAGGCTATTGTGAGAATAATGTGCATTTCCACATTTTAAGATAACTCCCCTGTCCTAATACTGGCCTCTAGAATATATCAAATGGTTGGG